GACAGGATCGAGAGGTGAGCAAACCTGGTATGTGTTCGCTCACCTCCCGATCTACTGAGCCGACCTGTGACAGTCTCATTGTCACAGGTCGGCTAGAACTATGAGGTGAGTGGAAATCACTCATCTCATAGTTCTCCTTTAAGTCCAATTTAGACAGGAACCAATTAATTTACCAGTATGTCTTTGGGGTGTGGGAGAAAACTGGGCTACCTGGAGGAAACCCACATAAGAGCAGGGAAAACATGCAAACTCCATGCAGATAGTGTTCTGACCAGAATTCAAACTGGGGACCCCAGAGCTGCAAGGCAGTTACAATTAAAAGCTAACACATTGGACATGTCAGCATTGGTAAATGATGGCTAGTTAGATCATGCTTGGTGATAGAAGTAGGGTACATGTACACTGGCAATAAACTGAGCTCTCCGAAAGATATTCTGGATATTAGTAAAGGTTTGAGGTTGTTTTTTGTTTTGTTTTTTTTAACTGTCTGAGACAAGTGATTCCTATGGAGGCTGGAAAAGAAAATGTTTCAGGGATACTGTAAATTTCAATTCATAAAGAAGCGTGATTGAAGTATGAAAGTTGCCATTGCTGAATTGATAACTGCATCACAGTAACATTTTGATCATATGTTTTATTTAGTTCCTGACAGCTTATGGGATTGCATTTGCACGAGTACGAGTAGCCATGCAAATACTCGGTATCGCGGCCGATACCGATGCTTGTATCGGTATCGGTGCATCCCTAATTAGAACTAATTATATTTTTGTTGCTCACTGGGTCCATATATTATTTTCAATACTATGTAACTCATTGTTTTTACAGCTGCGTAGCTCTTTTAATAAAGCATTCAATATGAAGAAGGGGCCCAAGTCAGCCAATTCTTATTCTGATATTGAAGAAACAGCTACTCCAGATTCATCTGCGCCAACCTCTCCAAAACAGCAGCAAGGGCCTCCAGGTCCACCATCACCTTCAATGCTCTCATCACCATCATCTTCTGTGTATGTATCTCTGTTATGGCTTAGTATAGTATAAGCAATGATAGTATTTTGTTTACATGTTGTTAGGTTATTTGAATATTTAAGCACTAGAAATAGAAATCTATATAATTTTGTGTACTCTATCTCCATGTATATTCTGTTATAGATTATTGCAGTAACTAATGTGATTATTTGTTAAGTGTAGAGTCAGCTAATATTTCTCTCTCTCTATATAGCATATTTGAGACTCAAGAAGGGGAAGAGCCAGAAAAGAGAGAAGTGTCAGAATTGCGTTCGGAATTGTGGGAAAAAGAGATGAAGTTAACTGACATCCGTCTGGAAGCACTTAACTCTGCACATCAGCTGGAACAACTACGGGAAACTATGCATAATATGCAGGTAATATTAAAAATGAAAAGGCTTCTAAGCTGACTCATTTATGAAGACTGGACAATTATTTTTAGTGAGCTTTAACCGCTTAGTGATCGGTTACCCCACTGGCAGCGGGCCCATTTAAAAACAGACTCCCAGCGACTCTGTTTACGTTTGTAAAGCGATAGAAGCGATTCTGGCGACTCTTCTGGCGCCAGACCGCTTCTGCGGGTCAGTAAACTGTGTGTGCCCCCCGCCCGACACCCCGCCATGTTTCCCGGACTCCGCTGCCCCTCCTGCGGGTCCGCGACTGGCATCTCGGGTGTCGGCGGGAAGCTGGGGAGGAGAGCGGCGATCGTCCATTCACCAATCATCTCCCCATTCTATGGGACCGGGAGCGACGCGTATTGCATCACTTCTGGTCCCATAGTAGTCATTGCTGGGCTCCTGAAGCCCAGCAATAAGCTATTGAAGTGTGATCTGGAATCAGTGCTATCTGAAGTGCGGTCACGTGGAAAGGGGATACTAGTAGGGGTCTTTTGGGCCCCCAGTATCACCTTAAAGAATACCTGTCACCACCAATCTGCTATCACATGGGGGCTTGTAAGCCCCCCTATGTGATAGCAATTAAAGTTTAAAAAAATAAAAATACCAATTTTTAAAAATAGCATCAAATGCTTTTATTACGCGGGTATATAAAGTTATATACGCGGGTATATAAAGTCGCACGTTATTAAAAGCACATTCCTTTAAATGGGTAAAACAGCTGCAACAACAATTGCAACTTCCTTTTTCAAGCGTTTCCTATTGATTCTATGAGGACAAATCGCACAGATCTGGCCAAAAAAAGGCTCATGTACTTTTTCCAGCCATGAACGTTTCTCTATGCCAAACATCTTTGCCTGCGCTCTCCCCTGTTGCACCACAAAGGTGTTCCTCATGTCCATAATATACAGTTTTTTCTTTAATTTGCCTAGACATACACTTTACTGTAAAGGTCATGGGGCAAATGTTTGTTACTCAGTCTGGTTAAAGTGATTCACTAAGGCGCTATTCAGACCCTTCTGGTTTGATGCTGTGCCTAAATACACGTTATATTGCGAGTTATGTGAATTGCATTAAGTCATCCCATTTAGTTGGCAGCTTATTCAAAATGAATGGTACCACCACGCAGTAAAATTTGCATGGTGGGTGGAAATTTTTTTTTTTTACCTTGTTCTTAAATACATAGCCATTCAGAATTGAAAGGCAACTTCCTGTGTTATCAGGTTTGAGGTAGCAATGTTTTTTCATGGAGTGTTGTTTTACCTGTACCTAAAATATGTTTAGTAGTGTGCACAAGCTAGACCACTGCTAACCTCCCTTGAGCAATCATGTGAACAGTCCAGTGTTTTACTAATTCATCTGTTGGTAAACCCAGTTTAGTTGTGGTACACTGACACAAAGAAAGCACTTGTCTGCACAAACCCTCTAAATGGTAAGATTTCCCCTTGATGTAACACTGTGCTGCATAACATATGTAAAAGTTTAACTTTTTTTTTCCTCAAATTACCATGTGTAAATAATTTTTTTTAGCTTGAAGTTGACCTTTTGAAGGCAGAAAATGACCGCTTGAAAGTAGTGCCAGCACCTGGTGGTAACCATCCATCTTGCCTATCCCCACGGCGTTCCTTAGCCTTGACTCTCACGCAATCTTTAGGAATTCCTCCATCATCCGATACAGGTAAGGGGATGTCATCAGCAACTTTTGTAAGAACTATACTTTCCTCTCCAGATGGAAAATCAATCTGATAGGTTGCCTATGTTCAGCATATTCTGCTATGTGTGAGTAGGCAGAGGGGCATCCAACTCCTGTTTTATTATGGCTATGCATAAGTTGGTAAAAAAAAAAAATTCATGGTTTGGCATATGTTTAACTTAAACCCAGTGTATAATTGACTTACCTCCATAATAACGGTTCAATGATGTAATAGTCATACAAGGTTATTAAGGCAAATGAGATGAGAGAACTAAAACCTTCTGTGATTTGTTTTGATCAACTGTGCTACTCATCTTATGCACAGTGAACATTTCTTTCCCTTTCTCCATGGAAGGGGCAAGGGCTAGCAACCACAACGTGGAAAAATCACTGTGTGGTACAATGAGTATTCCAACAGTCAGAAGCCCAGGATTGGGTGAAACATGTCAGAGGGTGCGGACCTTGGGCAGGACTCAGTGTCACTGACGAACATTCAATAAACTGTTTCAGCATGGAATGAGTGTGGACGGAATTTTCCTTAAAGTGACATTAAAGGCAAAATCCCCCCCCTATGCCAGTGTAAGGACTTACCTTAAATGATGCCTCTTGATCCAATCCGATCATCATCTTCTTTCCTGTAGTTTTCAGGAGTCCCTCCAGTGCTGGTGCTGGTCTCTGATCCAGCGCTGACGCCTGTCCCTTCCTGTCCCACGGAGTCTGTGCGGGTGCACGCTGCCTGCATTAACTTACCCTGTGTCTCTCCTCTTGTCCCGGCCAAAGATCTCTACTGCGCATGCGCCTGCCCCATGATCCTTTGCAGCCGCCCGAGAATCTTCAGATCTTTGAACTGGGAGCGCACGGCAGAGACACAAAAAAATGGGAGGCTTTAAATATCCTTTAACTATATACCTGTTTGGTTGGAGCAAGGACACACTCCTGCTAGCTGTCTTTCCCCTTGCTAAAGCCATTGGGGAGCGGTGTTTATTTTGTATGCTTTGGTGTAACATTCAGAAGTTGCTATTTTTCTTCCTGTATAGTATGATATTACCACTGGTCAGTTTACATTGGGCTGGAAATGGGCCAAGTATGGTCTTTGGTTGCTGCTTTCATAATTTAGGTTGAAACAAGCACATATGAAACAATAGGAAGTGATCCACTTTTGTGTTTGCTTCATAAGGCATTTAATCCAGTTAAATAACCTTCCTTAGAGCTGTTACCTATTAGAAGTTATTCCAAGATGCCACATATACTGTGTAGAGTTTATTCCCTCTTCTGTGGTGAATGTAATTGTTTCCAGAGAATGTCAAACTTATTGAAGATGCACTTTAAATGCTTATATGTGCTTGCTATCACACTAACCCATACACACTGACCTTTTGTAAGCGGTGCTTAAATTATTTGCATCACTTATATATACTGGTCTGTCTCTGAAGTAAGTTAACTTTAACAAACATTTCCATACTCCAACACTTTCAGCTCCTGCATAAAAGTTCTAAATCACCTACAGGCTGCACTGATAATGGAATTGCTGTGACTCTTTTTCAGATCTCTCTCCAATGGATAGTATAAATGGCTCTCTTCAGAGGGAAGTGACACTCCGTGCTGTTATAAGAGTTCCCCCACAGCATATTATTAAGGGGGTAAGTTTGTCTTTAATATTACAGTGCTCAGATAACTATGAGTGTTTGGAATTACATATGTTAAAGCTGGATTCCAGTTAGGCTTTAAAAATAGGTTTTGGGTGCTCCCACCCCAGGTTAGTAAGGGTTGTATGCTCATTCAGTTTGGGGGATGTAAAGTAGAGGAATCTTCCTGCCGGAACCTTCCCAGCCAATTGGAGGCAGGAGGGTCAAAGTCATCATGTACAATGCAGGACCAGCACTACTGTTGTGATCCCGATAGCTGTCTAAAAGGGGATTTCTCACACTTCCTGTTGTGTCTGCAGAATAGGACGTGCAAGAAAATCTCCCCAGGGGCACACAGATGGAAAAATAAAAATCGTTTTCAATTTAGATATTCATTAAAAGAAGTAAGGATGTGCCTTTTCACATCCTACATGCTTTATTTGTCATACTTTGCTACAGTATTAAATGTAGAGATTTCTGCTTTAGCCATTAGAGGGAAGGAAGAAGGAAGATTATCCATTACAATGGCTCCGCCTAACTGCTAAACAGCTGTTTAGTTAGAGAGAACCAATATGGCAGTTTGAGTGTCACCGCTGACTAGACATATGTTTTATATATAAATTACTTTTTTTACACATCCAAGTTGGAACAAAAGTATTTCTAAAAATCTGTGAATACATGTTTAAAAACAGGAGAGACTTGTATTCAAATGATAACATATTTTTTCTGACCACCATAGTTGAAAAGTTGAATAATAATATCAAAATCCCATTTCACAAATGCCTGTATCAAGCTCAGTCCATCTTTATCAAGATCTTTGAAACGTTGACAATAAAATGCTGATGCTTTGACTTAACTCTGCTGCACCCATAAAAGTCTCTATACCTACTTTTCATTTGTATGGATATTTTTTGTGGATGAGCATCCGGGCATTTGCCTTATCTCTCTCTCTCTCTCTCTCTCTCTCTCTCTCTCTCTCTGAAGTGAAAGGAACATACGTCCTGAAAGCCCAACTGAAGCCTCCCTAATTATTACTGTCATTTTGTATACTTATTCAGGCTACTAGTTCTCAGTGTATTTTTCCATACCATGTGCTGCAGCAAGGATTAACATTTCATGCACTAGCAGCATGTTGGAGAGTCAGACCATTGCCCCTAGTCACAAGAAGTAGCCCCCATTGGTCTGCCATTACTCCTTGCACACTTCTCCAATCAGCTAGCTCACTGTTCCACTGGCAACGGTCTTTTGGGGGAATTTCCCTCACTTTGGAGATATTTTCTCTCACTTCCTGTTATGTCTTCAGGACAGGAAGTAAAAAAAAATAAAAAATATTCTGAACTTAACACATAGCAAAAATGTCAGGTGTTCTAATCAATATCTACTCTGTCTAGGACATAAAAAGTATTGGGTAGATATTTAAGGGGTTTAAATAACTGAATGTGCACAATACCAGCTAGTGGTAGGAGATAACTGTGATGCAATAAGAAAAGAATGATATGCTTGTTTTATAGGAATTAGGGTGTGGAAAAGTCAGTGATGGTGCCATAGATGATGGTAGCTCTTTCTAGCCTACACTGACAAAGTTTAAATGGGAAAACCTCTGTCTTCTACCACTTTTTCTGGATGCATTCCTCTGTAATTGTAGAACTGTAGGCTGGAATGTATGATTCCACATAGCAAATGGTACATAAAATCAGGTAGTTCTTTTGTCTTAATTAAAAAGCCTTATATGGTTATCTTACAAATGTGAAATGACTGTCTCACTCTTTAGTCATTGCATTCTTCAGCCATTTACAGGCTTAAAGTAGAACATTAAAAAAAATGTTGGCACTGTAATATTGATTAATGCCGGTTCTTCTTTGCTTTGTGGTTATTTTTTTAAAGGAATGTATTACAGTATTCTTTTAATCATACGATATATCTCAACATAATTAACATTTTAGAAATAATTTTTCAATGTGTTTATGTTTATAAAACCTTGTTTTGGTTTTCATTATATATGTATGGGGGAGAGGGGGACAGCTACTTTTGCCCATTACATTTAGGCTTTGCATCATGGTTAGCAGTGGAGGACAGTTAGACTGCTCAAATACAGATATACAGTAATATCTTACTGAAAATGATGGCGATTGAGACACATGGCTGTTCTCCAAATGAAAAGTTGCACCAATCGATTTTCCAGCAAGTTGACAATGATCAGAAGTGTTTGTTATTGCCTCTTAGGGAAGTCTTGCATAGCTGGAATATTAGCAGTAATAGGTGATGCTCAGTTGGACTGTCAATCAGCAAGGGCGATTACTGCACAGTTTGATATTTAGGTTCTACAAATCTGTGTATCAAGTATCCTAATGTAATGTAGGAAAATGAAGAAAGAAAGATCATGAAAGTCACACCATCATTACTTTTATACACGCCTTACTTTATTTTCAGTGAGACAACATTTTGAAAAAGTAAACCATAATTGCTAGGGCTTGTTAACCCCAGCACCACTGGACTGCTTTGCCTAAGGCAGTCCCAATGCATACACAAGACAAACTGACCTATGTCTGCATGCTGCTTTGATGTGTGCTGAAAAAAAATCAGGACATGTTGCATTTTTATGCTGCACGTTTTGATGTGCAGAGAGTTAAATCACCTGTCAGGTTTAAAAAGAAAAAAATAAAGCACTTTGATGCATTGTACAACACAGCATATGGACACAACGGCGGAGGCTGTGTTATGCACACTAGATCCATGAACCCATCGCACTCCTGACCGCTTGTCTCCAATGGAAAAATCTGGATGCTGCGGTGGTCGACGGACGGCAACCGTCATGTAACAGCAGGAAACAGGGACACCGGCACACTGGTGTCCCTGTGTTATGCACACCACACGCCCACTAGTGTAAATGGGCCCTAAGGCAAACCATTTTTTCTCATAACTATAAGTTTGTATTGGACAAGCTATCCATTTGAGATATCTATTTGTGAATATTGAAAGCTGATGTTGAATCAGTGTTCTTTATTCACTGTATTTAGTTTTAAGTATATCATGGGTAAAAAGCAGAAACCAGATGGATGTATATCCCACTGTACTCTTTTTTTTTTTTTTTTTTTCCATAGATACATCAATTCTAACGCACATATGTAATATAATAGTACAAGCTTGTCTAAAAGAATTGGTTCAGGCACCATCTGTGCATATGGAACACATGTGTCGGTAATAGTACATAATTCAAGTAAAAGAGTGGACTTTTTATCTGACACTGAATTATCTTTATCTGTAGGATCTGAAACAGCAGGAGTTCCTCTTGGGTTATGTAAAGCTTAGTAACAAAGTGGACTGGAAAAGTCTGGATGAAGCTGTGTGCCAAACCTTTCAGGTACTAAGTAGCACACTGTTTGCTTTGCAGTACTTTCATTATGCTTTCTTCCTTCCTTTCAATACTTTCTTTTTTTCTTTAGGACTATGTAAGTCAGGTTGATCCAGGAGCTACCCTGGGCCTTGGCAAGGATTCTTTGAGTGGATACAACCTCGGACACATATCTAGGACTCTGGATGCACAAGCACCTGAAATGCCTCCTTCTAGAAATTTGCGAAACATCACCAATGTTATCTTACACTTAAAAGGTTGGAGAGTTGCCACCAGGGCTAGAGATGTTGCTGTCTTTTGTTTCCATCAATGTGAGGCTGATCGAATCTTTTCTGTTCTGTCTTTTCTTTTTTTTTACTACCAGGTCTGAAGGAAAGATGTGTGGACCTGTTGGTGTTTGAATCACTCATCCCGAAGCCCATGCTTCAGCATTATGTTAGCTTGTTGTTGAAACATCGAAGGCTGCTGTTATCTGGTCCTAGCGGCACAGGGAAGAGCTTCCTGGCACATAGACTGGCTGAATATTTGGTGGAGAGGTCTGGGCGAGAGGTTACTGATGGCATTGTTACTGCCTTCAACATGCACCAGCAGAGCTGCAAGGTTAGTGACCAGTGAATATATTTCAGCTACTTTTCTCCTAGACCGATGTCTCTTTGCTACAACCTGAAGTGGAAGTCAAGGCATTTTTTTCATCTGTAGCAATTCTTATCTCTGAATAGTTATTACCTTTTACGTTATTTCTGGTTTCTTAAAAGAGAACTATGAGGCGAGTGAAAATCACTCATCCTCATAGGTCTAGCCGACATGTGACAATGAGACTGTCACAGGTCGGCTCAATAGATCGGGAGGTGAGTGAACACATACCGTTGCTCGCTCACTTCTCGATCCTGTCCCAGCAGAGAGCCATGACTGTCACTCACGGCTCCCTGCAGGATTCCCCCCCTCCCCTGTCCGATCCTCCAGCGCTGACTGGTGGAACGGATGGGGGAGTGGGCGGATACAGCTGGCTCTGCCTCTAGATAGGCAGAGCCAGCTGTCACTCAGGCAGCTGGGTGGCTCCAGACAGTAATGTCGGGATCCGTCCCGGCTGCGGCGTCTCAGTATACCGCTAGTTGTAGCTCGCGGTATACTGAGCTTTGGCTGGCGAGAGGACGCTAGTTTGTGTCCTCCCGTTACCCTTAGGAGAACTATGGGGAAAAGCCTTTAATATCAGGCGCTGAATCTTTGTTCCAATCTGGCTACCAGATCCTCTGGGCCATAGTCTTTGCACTGCAATAAAATGACAGGGATTTTGCCATCACAGCTCAAAGTATGTTTTGTAGGTGGAACCTTCCAGTGACATCAGCTCTTTGCACCTTGCTGCCTATAAAGGCTGATTGACAGCACACTACCTCCCTGGTTTATGTCTGTTAAGTGTTTTGCAGAACAAATCTCCCAGTGTCATGTGACTACATCATATGTCACCAGATCTGTAGCAATCCCTCCTAGGCTTCAAGTTTCAGTATTGATAACAGAACGGCAGGGTCAGGTGGCCCTTTTTCCCAAAGTTTTATGGTACTTTCATTACTTATGGTAATAAATAAAGTTGTTTAATGTTGGTTTTGGGAGTTTGTTTTTTACTGAACAATGTCTTTAATCTGGTGCCTTAATTTCTGATTACTTTAATAAAGATCTAAAATGTTTAGGATGCTGCCTAATACCTACATCAAGGGTAGTAATAATAGAGTAATACTCTATTATTATATATATAATACTCAGTTAAGCTATACCTGCTCTCAGGTCATGTAGCAGTTTACATGTAAAAACAATACATTTTGTTATTTATTTATACAATTAAATATTATGGTTGTTAAAGAAAGACTAAACCCTATTGTATATACATTCTGCATGCACAATGCATTATAATCTTGCGTTTTAATATTAATATGTTTACAGAAGGGCAAAGTAAACTTGTGCCTTTTTCCTAGTACAGGACAGTAAGACTTTTAGAATGCATGTTATTTCTAATATCATTATATTTTCTTTTTTTAGCTACAAGCTGGTAATGTGTGTCATGTAACTTTGCCTTTAATAGGATCTGCAACTATTCCTCTCTAACTTGGCTAACCAGATTGACAGAGAGACTGGGCAATGTGATGTTCCATTAGTGATCTTACTGGATGATGTGTGTGAAGCTGGAGCCATTAGTGAGTTGGTGAATGGGGCCCTGACCTGCAAATACCATAAGTGGTAAGCTGTACATAGCATATAATACTGTAGAGTTTTTATTTGGCTTGTAATGAAATACAATAAAATGCCCCAGCTATGCTAAGTATATCTGGATGATCTAAATGCTTATGGGTTGAGATTTTCCCATTTATTGTTCTGGATCCAGTATGAGGCCTGAGTCTGTAAAGGTTTGGAAGCCACTGGATGAGCTTGACAGCCAGACAGGTAGGATAGGTGTGCATGAAATATTTCTCTTTATTATCCTCCTAATTTTTTTTGGTGGGCTTGATTCTTCAAACCTAACTCAGGTCTCTATGAATGATCTACTGTAAATCTAAGTAGTTTTTGCCATATTTTCTCTCATGACATTTGCTAGCCAGTAGCAGAACTACTTATTGTGTGGTTTAGGGGCTGTGATTTTGAATAGGGTGGGGAGGAATTAAAAACTCGTTAAGATTTACACCTTTTATGTACATCTGTAGGTCATTTCCATTCACTGCACTTCCCTAGGTAATAAGATTGCCACACTGATGTCCATCAAGTTGATGCTATCATAGTCCCTGCATTTTTGGTACAGGGAGATGCAAAGTACAAACTGCTGTGCTACTGTTGGCAATTTTGCCACATAGGAGGAAAAAAAAAATTGTTCATAACCACTAGAGTCAGTTGACTTGCCACACAACAGATTAATCAGGTCACCTAACTAAATAAACCTATTTTTATATATTTTTCAGTAAGATTTTCCATCTCTGTATATAATGTAGATGCTCTCTCTGCTCCCCCCTTACCTCATAATTAAAACTGACTATGAGACATGATCTATTTTCATTTCATTTCCTATCCTGCTGTCTCCCATAGGTACGCGGCAACAAAAATACTTGTTTAGGGCAGTGGGGAAAGGTTACTGTAAAGTTCTTTTTTACTATTGAAGGACATAGGAATGTTAGGAATTCTTAAAAATATGGGTTATATACTGTAGCTTCCTGCACAAAATTGGGATAGAGACAAACAAACAAAATGTTAAGCCAGCCTCCATATAATCCCGCTTCCAACCATTATGCTTCAGTATTTTCCTAGTGTCACAGGAGGTTGCACTTCTAAGCTCTGCTGGGAAAAAGTCTTGACTATATTTTTGCTAGCCTTTTTATTCGAATTTCTTTATTTAAGTCCATCAAGATACTTGTTACACCGTAGATATTGTCTTCTTCAGTTACTTCAATCAAGACTTCAAAACCGCTGCGTGAGCTAGTCTCTACACAGCAGCTATCTGGATCGCATATTCTCAGCAACAGCTTTTGAGGTTGTACCCAGACGGTGCTGGACTGGAGGATTGCATGGCTAACCTAGAATGTGAGCTTTAAGCACTGGGCTCTGCATTGTGGCACTTTCCAGACCTGTGTGTATTGTGTTAGCTACAGAGCACTCCTCTGGTACATAGCTGTGGCACAACCTCTAGTGTGAACCAGTCTCTGAGGACTGAGCATAGTTAGCAAGGCCAGTGGAGGTGAAGCACCGAAAGCTACCTTTAGGATACTGCAGGATGCCTTTTTAAAATTTCCACCATCTTACCACGAGTAAGTGTTAAGCCTGAGGGATCTGGAGAACTGACGTCATCTGCTAGGTGGAGTGTTGCGCACAAATCAATTTGTCATTCAGCCTAGAGGAAGCACCATTCTTTTGCTGTTCATGCTTTTGAAGTGCCTTGTGGATCATCTGCTCTCTGGTCTCATTCCACTGCTCACCTATAGTGACTTTGTCACCTTCCTCCACCTGCAGCCCTCATCAGCAGTGTGGATCTGTGAGTACACAAGGCTTTGCCTCACTTTGGGCATAGTTGTTTTCCACTACACAGTGCAACATGTAATTTCAAATAGACAGACCTGCTGCAACAGGGGACATCAGCCCATACTACGTCTAAGGGTGATTTTACAGTATCTATGGAAGGAGCCAATGACTGTAAACTAGACCCTGGAACCCCTATTATTATAAGGCCATCCTTATAAAAGTCTAGGGCTGCAACTAACGATTGTTTTTATAATCGATTAGTTGGCCGATTATTTTTTCGATTAATCGGATAGAAAAAAGTATTAAAATTGTTCATTATTAATAATTTAATATTAATAAATAAATATGACTTATATAATTATTAACTATTAGTTATTTAATTTAATTACATATTAATAATTTCATGAATTATTTAATGGACATAGCATATTCATTCATTCATAGCTCTCATGCCTGGCATATGTCACAGAAAGAACTTGTGCAGGAAGGAAAACATTACCAAGCGGACTTTTCTCTTGGACTCCTCTCACGAGACGCTTTTTCTGGGGGAATCCGATTGGCTGCATGCTTGAATCCGCATATTGCTTGACACACTGCACGCACCGCCTCTTTCCTTTGCTAACTAACCATCCTGGAAAGCACTGTATCACATAGTGGAAGCCTGCTTGTGTTCTTAGGCGGAAGGGGGCATGCTGGTTCCATTCAAGTCAGTGGCACCACAGACATCCCCCCACCCGCAGTGTGAGTGATCACCAGAACGCGCGGCACAGCAATGCCCACGTTGCAGTCCGGTGCAGTCACAAAAAATAGCGAACCCTCACCCACCCCAGAACGCATGGAGGCTTCCACTATGTGATCCAGTGCGTTCCGGCCACTAACTGTGCTGGAACGCACTGGAGATGGTCTGAACTGGCCCTAAATGTGTTCACTGCCTGGCCGGTGCCCCCCCCCCCCCCCCATCTTTGTGCCTGCCCGGAGCAGCTGCACAGTCTTCCCCCAATCCCTACCGGTTGTTATGCCGCTGACTCTACTCACTGCACATGTTGCACATGCAACACATAATATGCACACGGCGCAATTCAACACATAGTAAGCACATGTTACACATACAACACATAGTGAGCACACATTACACATAGTAATTACACGTTACACATAACACAAAATACGCACACAGCACACATACAGTAGTATGCACACTTTACACATACAACACATAATAGGCACACAGCACACATACAACACACACAGCAGTACACATACAGCACACGTAGTACACATACAACACATAGTACACATACAACACATAGTACACACTACTTACATTGGTTGTACATCTCTATTTAGCCCATCCACAGTCCACTATGAACAGCCCATAGAGGAGGAGGCGGAGGCATGGGGAGGCAACGGTCCCAAACGGGAACAGTCCCCGAATGGTCACGCTCACTGGGACTCCCAGCGACACCGGGACGGCCCTATTCATCCCCTCAGTCCACTATGATCATCCAGGGTAGGAGGAGTAGGAGGCCGCAAGTCCCCTGGCAGTGCCCGAATAGTCAGTCAGTGTTCAGAAGCATGCGAATGAGACAGGGAGGGAATGAAGGTGCAAGCAGCCCAACTAACCCCAAGCTTTAACTACTACTGAAATAGTACCTCGTAGATGACTAGACTGTCTCACATTAAAGCTGCAGATCTCAAAGCCAGATTTCCTCTGTCTCATGTGCTCAGTCAGAAACGACCCCAGTTTTGCAAGTTAGGGACCTGTTTGTTCATCCTACTGGTTATAGTATGATCGTATGATAAGTCCTGTGTCTTATCAGCCCACAGGACTTCAGGTGTTCAGGATTCAGTGTCCTACAGCAGTTCTGGACCCTGCTCACAGCACCGTATGTCCACCGTAGTGCCCTTTTCTTGTGCACCCTTTGTAAAACACTCGGGAGACCTTCCCTACAGAGTTTCCTTGGTTATTACAGTTCTTGTGAAGCCGAGAGTCGTATACTCTGCTATCCTTGCTTAGATAATAATTAACAGCTATCTAGTAATTTTGGACCATCTTTGAGTGGAATTGCTTGCCTCAAATCTTCTCAAAAAATGTCCACTGCCTGTACACTTTTGACCCTTCCTGGTGTATAGTAAATCGTGTTTACCCCCCTAGGGTTTGTGGGATTGTTGGAGAATTCCTTTTAGGCGTTAAAACACAAAAAGCTAATGGAAACCAATCAGATGCCTGTGTCCAATTTAAAAGCTGTACCAAAAAAAACCTCAAACCTGTGAGCTGACGTGGGAAGCAATGTCCTGCTTCACTTTCCATACATGTGGCAAGCATTTCATTTATCTGAACAGCTAGCTTCTTTTGCTGTCTCAGATTACATATTTGAGGACTGAGTCTCCCTTAACCTTATGTTCCCAGTGCCTTTCAACATATGTTTCCTGGTTGTAGTTTCATTTTTCTTTTTCACTGTATGGTATTGCTATTGAATAAGCAGTTTTTAGGCCTGGTTCACACCTAGGCGATTGCGGTTGTTCAGCTGTTTTCGCATGTTCGGTGCGCGTTTTTTTTGGCGTGATTTTGCTTTTAAAAACCTCTCAAAAACCGTGCGGTTCTCAATGCATAGGGATGTCTATGAGACCAAAACCGTGCAACATCTGCCTGTAAATAGCGGCTGCATATTTTTGCGTGACAGGAAATATCGCACGTGCGACTCAGCGCTTAGGTGTGAAATGTCGCTATTGCCTTGTATGGGTTTTTGTGTTTTGCGCGTTATCGCACGAATGAATCCGCACAATAAAACGCCTAGGTGTGAACCAGGCCTAAATGTACATATGATACTAAATATACTATTGTAATAAGTTAACCAGTTCAAACAAAATGTATTCTACTTTTAATCTTGATGAAGCATTCACATTTTAAAGTGACACCTGGGCGTCAGCGTTTTTTGTGCGCTTTCGCCTAGAGTATTTTGCTAGTTTTTTTGCATTTGTTGCACATTTTAATGCGCTTATTTAACCCCTTCATGACTGAGCTAGTTTTCAGGTTCTGTTCATAAATGACTGACACATTTTTGACATTTTTGCTGTGTGATTCTTCCACAGCAGTAATATACTTTCTTACTAAATGTACCCACACATATTATATATTGTTTTTTAGAGGACAGATAGGGCTATATAATTATATCACATATGTGTACCTAACCCCTCACTTAGTTTGAATAAAATAAAAAAATTAGGAAAAAAACTAGAAGAAAAACACTTTTTTCACAAGTTTTGATTATTATTTTTTTTTTCGAATTTTTTTATATTAATTATAGTATAAAAAATATATTTATATATAATTTATATTTTCCTAATTTTGTTTTACACTTTTTTTTTAATTTTTTTACACTTTGTAAAAAAAATAAAAATAAAATAAAAAACCTTTTTTTTTTCTTGTCAGTTTATATCAAGCAATCACTATGACAGCTTGATAAATTAACTTTTTTATTTTATTTTTGGCTATTAGGCTGATCCAAACTTAGGAACAGCTAATAATAACCTTAGAGACTGATCCTGACTTTAGTCAGATTCAGATCTCACTAAAAGCTCTTTGATCGTGCCTAGACGATCAGAAATGATACATTTCACTCAAAAGATATACATTGTATCCTTTCAGTGAAATGTATCTAAACATCGGGCTCTCGAACTGTCAAAACAAATAGCAGAGAGGTGAGGTGAGTCACTGCTGCCTCTCTGCTATTTTGAGCTGTCAAATACGGGATCGCAAATTGCGGTCCTCTATTTGCATGTAACGGCTTCATTCTTTCATTAATGAAAGGAAGAAGCTTTTACAAAAAGCTTAATTATTTCATTAATTAATGCCTCAATACTGAGACATTAATGAATGACTGTTAAATGCTGAGAATCAGCAAATACCGGCATTACAAAGCCTGATATAACTCGTCACGTACAGTGTACGTGGCCAGTCATATAGGCACAAAGTGACAAGACGTACACTGTACGTCTCCCGTCACGAAGGGGTTAAAGACGCGCATCTTGACTGGCAGATGAAATACGCTGTGGTTGACGGGGAATCGCGTGTGAAAACACGCAAAAATGCGCATAAAAATATGGGTCATGCGTTTTTCAGTTTTTTTCCATTGAAGTCTATGGGGCCAAACGCCCCAAAGAAGCTCAGGAACTTTTTGGAGCGACAGGCATTTTGCAGCTGGAGACAAAACGCCTAGGTGTGAATGGGGCCATTGAAATTTAATGGGAATTTATGTGTTATTTATGAGTGACAAAACGCCTAGGTGTGACTGGGGTCTAAACTCAGGAGTTGAACCGTAAAAATGCATTTAAGTACCTTACCTATAAACAAAAATGTAGCTCATTTTATGCATCACACGGCTGTAGGTCCTCAAATCATCTCTGAATTGGTGGTGACACTGTCCTTCCTTCTGGAGGGTGGCTACTTTTGTTCCCCATGGTCCCTGTGTGTGTTGTTAAGTAGTCACCACTCCAAGCTCAAGGGGATCCGTCCATCCAGCACTTTATTTCTAAAAAGGTTCGTTTGGTTGTTGCTGTTATGCCCTTTTACAAATAAAAGACTGGATGGACGGATCCCCTTGCGAGTGCCGGTTTTTTACCTATTGCATCGTGGGAGTGAGCTTGGAGAAGTGGCTACTTTCCAACACATACAGGGACCATGGGAAAGAAAAGTAACCACCCTCCAGATTTCCATACACACCCTATTTTTTTCTTTGTTGATAGTTTCTGTTATCTGCTATATTGTTTTTACCATCAGCTGCTTCATTTATTAGGTATTGTTTGTTAGGAGTTTTATCAGATCTATCATTTTGATGTTTTTTTTCCACGTGCGTCTCTGGGGAAATGACCATAACTTTTCCATATTTATTTGCCTTTCTTCTCAAACGCCATTACATTATCTGCATTTTTTTACGTTTTCATTTCCCTTTTATGTACATTTTAGGTGTTGATTTTGATGGTAAATGCAATAAATATAATAAAGAGTATTACATTGAATCTCAGTTGCGAAGAGAGTTAACCCTTTCTTGACTGGGCATACTTAATACCTAGATTTCCATGCCAAATATAGCAGCAGAACTGTTTTTGAGGACGTATGTATCCTTAATTCGGAACATAGTTTTAATAAATACCCTACTATTACCCCATGGAATTACCCCATTTAATAAATACTTTTTATTATAAGCTGACAAATAAGAGAAAATGAGTGGTTGATGTCAGAAACGGCACTGTACTATGACTAGCGTCCAGCTGCTAACTTTAAATAGGGATTTCCATAAACGCGATCTGAGCAGGTGCACTTTGCTGAGGGACATTTTTCTACAGATGATAGAATTGAGTTTAAACATTATATATGCCAATACAATTGTATTTCGTTCTGAGGAAGGAGACGTGTCCTCTGAAATGCTTCAACAATTTGGAAGGCTATGCAGTGTGTTCGGCCGATTTTTTATCCTGTAATCTTGCTGTCCGTGTCTATCGATACATACTATATGCCTGCTTTTCAAGTTTTTTTTGTGAGTATGTATTTTACCATTTTTAATCGGCTAATTAAAACTATTTCACACGATGGAGGCGCTCTCTTTCTCTTCCAATACAATTGTGTTTTATGGCATTTTCTTACTCTGACTTAATAAGGTGAAAGTTGTTGTCATAATTTATGAGTTGATATTTATTTATTTTCATGTATTTATGTGCAGCCCTTACGTCATTGGAACAACCAATCAGCCAGTGAAAATGACCCCAAACCATGGTTTGCACCTAAGTTTCAGGTAAAATGAAATGGTTTTGAATAAAAAAATTGGTGGGCAATAGTGAGTGTTCTAAATAAAATATAATATTTGTTATGCCATGGGGCAGAGGATGACCTTTGTTATATCTCACAGGATGCTAACTTTCTCCAATAATGTGGAGCCAGCAAATGGATTCTTAGGTCGGTATTTGCGTCGGAAGCTACTGGAATCTGAAGGCAGCATTGGGACTGGACATGAAGAGTTACTCAGGGTTCTTGACTGGGTGCCTCGTCTGTGGTACCATCTACACACCTTCCTGGAGAAGCACAGTACCCCAGACTTCCTTATAGGTATATGCAACAAAAACTTTAGTCTTGATTGGATGGTGTAAGATTTATACAAGTTTGCCATCACTTATTGTAGCAAAAGCTGTTAAGATTTGTATATGAACAATGCAAATAATGTCAAACGAACTGGCTGGCAATCCACAAGCTTCTCTGTCATTCATCTACCCCAAGATACATGTTTGGACTGGTGGTATCTTTCTAAATAATCTATATTATGTAGCATTTGTACTATTTATTTATTACAGGTATTTATATATCGCCGACATTTTTATGCAGCACTTTACATGCACATTCACGTCAGTCCTTGCCCTATAGGAGCTTACAATCTAAGGTCCATATCTCACATGCATACATACAAGGCCAACTTAGAGAGGAGCCAATTAACCTTCCAGCATGTCTTTGAAGTGTGGGAGGAAACCGGAGTACCCGGAGGAAACCCACGCAAGCACAGGGAGAATATGCAAACTCCTTGCACATAGTGATTAGTGATGGGCTCGGGCGTGTTCGCAAGTGCCTCGTGCCGAGCCTGCCAGGAAGCCGTCAGCACGCAGGGCCAATCACAGGCACTGAGACATTTCCCGACCTCTGCAGCTGCGGACCGGGAACATGTCTCAGTACCTGTGATTGGCCCTGCGCGCTGACGGCTTCCTGGCGCTTGCCAACACGCCCGAGCCCATCACTAATAGTGATACTATAGATGTTCAGCATTACTAGACTAAGTACATATGTTTTACATGTTTAAAAAAAACATACCTGCTCTCCCTTTGGTCTGAAGCTGAAACTTGTACAGAGTTTAGGGAGGTGTTTGTGTAGCTGTGTTAAAATATTGGTCAGGCATGGTTTATCTGAAGAAATAATTGTATCAATCGAAAACATATTTTCTCATTCCAGAGTAAAGCATATTTTACCATATTTAATAGGGGGAACTGATTGAGCTGAAGACTGCTTGTATCTACTTAAAAATATGTATATCTTTCTTGATTAGTCTTCCTCTTTAAAGGAAAATAGTGGTAACAGAAATATGGTATTTGCTGACGTCTTCTTTGGAAATGCAAGTTGCCTGACTTTACTCTGACCTAAATATTACTTCTAGGTTAGTGACCTAGAAAGCACTGAAATCATTGAAACAGCAAGTCAACCAGGTAACTAGTATGGACATGTAGTCAATGAAAGTTCTTTGTTGCCACCACGTGCCTGGTTGGAGACCGGTAGGATGAGGAGGCTTCCCTTGCACTTCTGGTCCCACCGACTCTGGAGGAGGGGACAATCTGAGCGAACAACGAGTAGCACGGGTGCCAGAGGTGCGACCACACTGTGCAGGTAGAAGTCCAGAGTCAGGATCAGGTCAAGCAGAGCCGAGGTCAAACTGGGCGGGCAGCAAGGTACCAGAGCGGACTCCGAGATTGTGGTCAAACAAGTCAAGGGTCACAATAGCCGGGCAGCGAAGTACAGAGCAGGAGACAGAGGCAAATACAGTAAGCAGGCAAAGGTCAGGAGGCAGGCAGTAATCGGAGTAGTCAAAAGCAATCCGGGTCAAACACCAGAACAGGAGTCCGACAGGGTCACACGAACAAGCTGAAGACTATCCAGCAACTGGGGATCAGGCAGGCTTGTTGAAATTAGAGGTCACAGCATCACTTCCTGTGCTGTGTCTTCGCGCGTACGTCCCGTTGTGAGCGCATTCACACAAACGCATGTTTACCCGCTGTACGAAAAAAGGGACCACGCACATGCGTAGTAACTGGCGTTACTTTACAGTTGCAGATATTCCAAGCAATTTGTAGCTCAGTCGTTACTTATGTTATCCATTTCTGCTACTGATAACCATGGAACCATGGAAAATTGTCAGTATAGATACGTGGCTTTGTTATTACTTGTACTTGCATGAATATACACAAAGTAACTATAGTATTTCAATGTACCACCAGACATTTATGTTGTGGACTATAGTATGCCTGCTCAGGGGACACTACTTGGCCATACTTGGCTGCCATCTAGTGGTAGTTGAAATTATAGTCACACATACAGTATTTGCTTCTGTCAGTGCTATTACTGTGTAGCAGTGGTAAAGTGAAACGAAAGTCTGCTGCGTGCATGATGGTCTCCATATCATTATTTGTTGCCCGCAGACTGTTGGCTGTAAAATAGTCTCTGGGACCCCTCTTCCTTCAGAGAAATGGGTACAAAAACTTGATAGGTGGATTTCATTTGAGAAACATACCATCTCACTTTGTAATACCATTCACAGTTTTTACATAATTTGTTCTCTTTGACTGGACATAAAATAGTAGGGCTGCAGCTAGCGATTATTTTAATAGTTGATTAGTTAGCCGATTATTAACTTTGATTAATCAATTAATTGGATTTTTTTTTTAATTATTTTAAATATGCGGCGATACCTGACATGTGTAGCACAATCGTCGTTTTTCTATGTAGGTGCACCCGACTTGTGGTTACATACACAGTTACATAGTATTTGAGGTTGAATAAAGACACATGTCCATCAAGTCCAACCTATTGTGTGTGTGTGTGTGTGTATGGGTCCCTGTTTTATCCCTGCAAAACATTACCTTCTTGATGCAGGACAGGACTCTACTAGCTTTGCTTACCGCAACCTGGCATTGTAATCTATTATTGAGTTTATGGTCTACAGTGACCCCCAAATCTTTCTCCATTTCAGACTTCCCTAGCGGCAAACCCATTATTGTATACCCCATTTGCTTTACATTCCCACTTTTGGTCCGTGTTTAGATTTTGAAATACGTTTTCCCATTTGATGTCCCCCACTAGGTGGCGCAGTCTATCAAAGTTGGCCCTTCTGAAATTGAGGGTTTTTGTCCTACCAGCCCTGGTTCTGTTTGTAAACGCATGTTTGCAGGGTTGGGGGACTTTCGATTTTTTTTGAGGGGGGGCTTTTTTTTACATTTTACAAGCCCCATATGTGATGGCACATTGGAGGTGACAGGTTCTCTTTAATGTGACATTAGGGGTCTTTAAGACCCCTAGTATCAACTTTCCACTTCACTGGATTCAGCTGCTGAAGCAACAGAATGTAAATATAGCAGGCAGAGGCAGGGAGCAATAGCCAGCCTGCTATTGGATATTTTAAAGTGCAATAGCAGGCTGGCTGTTGCACCCACCCACTGCCTGCTGTCAATCAGCAGAGGAGGGAACTGAAGGAGAAAGTTTTGTAAATATAGCAGGCAGAGGCAGGGAGGAATAGCCAGCCGGCTATTGGATATTTTAAAGTGCAATAGCAGGCTGGCTGTTGCACCCACCCACTGCCTGCTGTCAATCAGCAGAGGAGGGAACTGAAGGAGAAAGTTCTCCATCAGATCCTCCTTTGCTGATTGACAGCAGGCAGTGGGCGGGTGCAATAGCCAGCCTGCTATTGGCTATTGCAATTTAAAATATCCAATAGCAGGCTGGCTATTGTTACAAGTGTCCGCTTCTTTTCCACTTGATTAAACTGTTTCCTTTTGGTTATATATGTGTCAGCTGTCTGTGCTCCTTATTTGTTTAATAATGTGCTCACCAGACGTACCCAGAAAGAGAAGAGAAGGTCCGTTCAGTGTGTTCACGGGGGAGGAGACGAGAGAAGCCGTAAATCTTGACTACACACAGAACGGACCTTCCCTTCTTTGATCGAGAGTGAAAACGTCTGGGTACGTCTGGTGAGCGCATTATTAAACAAATAAGGAGCACGGACAGCTGACCCTGAGATATATCACCAAAAGGAAACAGTTTAATCAAGTGGAAAAGGAGCGGACACTTGTAACACTGTGAACTGTCTTAACGGAAGGAAGGAGGAGCAGCAGCAGCGGAGGTACAAGGGGAGGGGGGGCAGCGGGGGATTTCAGAGTCACCGGCCGCAGTCTCTTCTCCCCTCTTGTGCCGGCTACAGCAGTCTGTGAATCTCCTGTCAGTGAACATGAGGGGGATTCTTTGGCTAAGGTGTTGGGCTGCAGAACCGGCATGCCCTTTAAGGAAATACATCTCTTTGGAGCCTCCCTGGACACCCTCATCAAGAATGTCACCAGACCAAGAGTATCCATTTACCCCAGCAGAAGAAACGCAGGGCTCAGCCTTTGAAAGCTCACTTGTTAAATGACAAGGAGAGTTCCTTTAATTATTTCCAGGCCTTAAATTTCAAAGCCAAGCCCAAGCATAGCCCCCAGTCGGCCTGCAGTTTTTTGTTTGTTTTTAAGATTAACAATATGTTCATCAGTATACACCATTATCATTAGGTATGAACCAGATATATCTCAGACAACTGGCAGCACTTAATAACCATGGGACAATTTCATATACAGAACTACTGCATTGATGGCCACATCTGCCTTCCAAAACCTCCCGTTCGGTACTCATTTGAACAGTTTCATCAATCAATAGAAAACAAAATAAAATATAATTGTGCAGTGAAGTTACTATAATTTTCATATATATATTTCACCTGTGTAGAAACGTTGCCACTAAAACATATTTGCCATATGTCTGTAGCAAACAATTTGCAAGTAACAGATTTTTTTTTAAGCATGGTGAAGCATATTTTATTATACTAATATAAATTTATACTAAATAAAAAAAAAAAATGTTTCAGACATTGTGTGCAAAATTGTATCTAGCATGTGAGACATTCAGTAACAAATTATACCGATGCTGTGACCCCCCTCATGGCTTCAACCTAGAGTAAACATACCTCAATAAATGACTAATAGATTCCATAATTATGGCTTAAGCTATCTCCTGAGTCATTATCTAGTGTATTGTAAATGAACCAGAGGCTGCTAGCATCCTAGGTGAGTGCAAGGTAAATGAAGAGGAGATCATCCCAAAAGGTTCAGCATATTTTAGTCACTTTGTTGACATGGTGATTGCTATGTATCAGGCCTTGCATAAGATACAATATTGGTACCTGCCACCATTCGCTCCTTTCATTCAGCTTTATTCTGGCATATCAGTCAGAACAGGCTCATAAATTAGTCAGTTGCCAGTAAATGTAACTATGGTATCTTTTGACCTCTATGTAAACAAATAACTGTTTGTGCATTGTCTTTTTGTTTTGGGGGTTTTTCTGCTGCAGTTTGTACTTTTATTTAGCATTTGCCCTTTTAGATTCTATTGACACACAACAATGAAGATTTGTATGTCAGTAATTGGAAAACAGTAGTAGTTCCAAAAGCAAAGCCTTGGCCGAAACCAGATATCTTAGAATTCTCTGTTTATAACTAATGCCAGTAACTAAACTTTTTAATATATAGTATATATGTATACATATTATAAGAGTCTATCCTTCTTGTTCTATATGTAACAGTCTGCTTTCCTCCCGTAGGTCCATGCTTCTTCTTATCCTGTCCAATTGGAATTGAAGATTTTCGTGTGTGGTTTATTGACCTGTGGAACAACTCTATTATACCATACCTTCAAGAAGGTGCCAAGGATGGAACCAAGGCAAGTCTACTGAATGCATGAGTTATCAATCCAATCTAATTACGGTCACAATGAATGTAGTAAATTCTTACTTTTTTTTTAGAGAGTCTGAAGGCTCCTTCCTCAGTCATAGGCATGCACACAACAGTGGGACCAATTTAGGTGAACGTCAGTTTACCTACTAGTATGTTTTGGTTTCACTTTGCCAGTGGCACTATATATATTGTGTTACCAACTGTCACACCTTATAATATTTTACAACTTTCACAACTAATAATGTCACTTTATATAATCTGTCGCTGACTCAGCAGAGACATCTCTGTTTGAGCACAGGAGATCAGACACAATTAATCCTAGGGAATGCTGCATGTTTTTATGAAAGATAGGTTTTTAAAGTTCACCAAAAACATAATTGGAATAGTGGAATTGGAATGACTCTGATTCACATCTCTGACAATATTTCATGAAAAAACTGGAAATATTTATTGCAAAGGCAGTGCAACAAATGTAATTAATTTTTCTTTTCATATACCTTTTACTTTTGAAGTATACAATTCTGTCATTAAGGTAGATTAACCTTGTTTTCCTCTGTTGTTGCTGTAGGTACATGGACAGAGGGCTGTATGGGAGGACCCTGTTGAGTGGGTTCGAGGCACATTGCCTTGGCATTTGGCACAACAGGATCAATCAAAGTTGCTACATCTACCACAACCCAGCACGGGAACTCACATCTCTGCCTCCCCTCCCAGGGAACTAATTGTGAAGGAATCTCCTCCAGCGTCTTTAGAATCGGATCCTCTGGTATGTTCAAAATCTAGTATGATTTTATAGGAACAAGAAATTGATCTGTGTGAGTAGTAGAAAGTCTGTGATGCATTAGCACTAATATACAGTATGGGTACACTTGCTGTGTGTAGTCTTGGGATAAAGTAAAGAAAAAAACATTGTGGTTCATATTGGATATGATGAAGACTTGTGATAAATATGTGAGTTTTTGTTTATACACAACATGTCGGATGCAGTGTGACCACAGTATGAGTTCTAGCAATGCTTGATTCCAAAAAGGCTAGTAACATTTCCACTTCTGTTATGTCACATGCAATTTCATACCACTAACAAATGCAATGAGGCTGACTTGACTCCTGTCCACTCCAGAAAAGGGTTTGCGCTGGAGCTAAGATTTAGAGCACAGTTATTTAGAAGTTATTCTTCTAGACCTAAATGACCTGTCAGTATTTAGAGTATGTCAGGCATGTAAGGTCCTAAATGTCCCTGCATCTGTACCGGGGTACATGTCACCATAGAGGCAATTGCTGTGGATATTTAAGGCAAGTTTCTTTTACTCACTGACACTTTGCTTACTACTGAATGCTCCAAAATTATTTCAACTACCATCTGAGGTGCATTCATCAGCACTGACTTACATTCACTATATAAAGCAATTGTGTCTCTACTAAAGATCTGACATCCTGCACTCAAGAGCCAAGAGATGCAGGAGTACTCTGTGGGTGGCACATCAGTAATGGTTGTTAGTGTCAGTGCTGAGCGTGTTGCTCTTCCTGAAAACATGACAAATGCTGCTGGGCTTTAATGTATTTTTAATTGTATCAGGCTGACAGCTTTTACATGCTGACTTACTCCGTATTTTTTTTTACAGATGGCAATGCTATTAAAACTTCAAGAGGCTGCCAACTACATTGAGTCTCCAGACAGAGAAACCTTGTGTGACAGTGACCTCACTTCTACCATCTGAATGCCAATAGTCTGGCATTTCAGGGGAGATATCCCATTCAATAACACCCATACCCACAAGAAATGGTGAAACTGGAAGTTCAGTCTTGAGAGAGCAAGATTGGAGCATCTCAGAACTGAGTTTGGACTCGCTTTATTACCTTTGATTCTACTTCAATAATTATGCTGCCCTACTTTGAAAACAGAAGGAGGAATCTTACAACACATTTAAATGTGGATTTTTATTTCTAATCTTTTTTCTTCATACTACAGGTTTGAAGAGGAAAGTGGACTTCTTTTGCAATTATAAATTGTTTCCTATAAGTTAAGTTCATTTCTAAGGCTTCATTACTTGCAACCAATTAATCTCCACATATAGTGTTTTCTTCGCCAAGGACGAAAGTGGTAGACAGTTATATGTGGATGGGATATGGGAATGGAGGGTTTTTCTTTTTAAGACTGTTAATAGTGTAACTGTACTTCCTGGGCGCAACTTAATTTCAGATGGATTCACAAACGATCATTCTGATGCTACTGTAGATGTGACATTCATGTGTCAGAATTTTTGGTCAACACCCATCTCAGAAGTGTGCAGTGCATTCCTACCGCCATCTGCATTCCTCATACCATCCATGTGTGGGAAATCCATTTGCCTTTTTGTCCCCCTAAACTTTTCTCAATTCAGAATGCAGTAGCATGCCAGACATTGCATTCTGAGATTTTCTTTACCACCACCTTTGGTCGTGGGATTATTTAGAGTTTAAGGGTCAGCCATACTTTTTTATTTTAGATGTGCAACAATGGGGGTATGTGATGTTGTGGTGTAGGAGAGACCAGTGACGCACACGTTGTGGAGCATGACGTGAACGTGCATATGATTACAAATAAGAGCCTTACAAGAGGAACATGAGTACAACAATACAGGATTACATTATGCAACAGATACACTTGGGAGGAAATGTATGAGTAACAGTAACTCTATCCGTATACAGTTTTCCAAAAAAATGTGAATTTTTCTTTTAATTTTTTCATCTAGTTTTTAGAATGTGTTCCAGAATGCCTATGTTTTGGGAATGAGTCAGTTCTGTGGCAGGTAATAAAATACACAAGACCTTAAGAGTAAAGTCGGACAAGTTTAAACAAAGTGCTAAATACAAGAAAAATATGAAGCATGATAGATATTGATCGGTTTAGCCAGTTCAGTATTATGATCAATTTGTCATTTACACCACATCAATGTACAGGATCTAATGTGCATGCAGGCTAATAATTGTCTTTCTTAGCATGGAGTAAAGCCATCCGGCAATTTATTAGCTAAACAGCACTCTACTTCCAGAATGATTTTATAGAAACCATTGTGGCAGATACAAAGACAGCTTTGTTCTGACATACAGTTATGGAGTGGTGTCATAGAGGGCTTTTTACACACTGGAGCTGACATATAAACAGAAGGAAGAATGCTCTCCTTTGATGCATGGCAAGGGCCAATACATCTAAAATAAAAGCTACCTCATGTTAAAGGAATTACTAATGATATCTTAAAATATGTAATTGCCATACTATTGCCAGATGTATTTAGTTATGGCTTTACATTTATTGTGTAGCTTTACTGAACGTTATCATACTGCTTGTGGCCTTTAATGTGATTACTGAACTAAAGGTTAGCATTGTACAGGAGAATGTTGCCCTTTCAAAATGAAAGCATTATCTGCAGTATACCTCTGCGGTGTTCTGTTTTTACGGGTATATCTGTTAGTGCTATTATCTTTATAGATCAAGCTAATTGCAGTTTAGGTTTATTGTTCTTTAGGCCCCAAAGATACAAAATGTGCCCATTTCCTACCTTTTATAAATTAGCCTCTCCCTCACAGGGAGGAAGAGCATTTGCTTCTGTTTTGTTTCCACGTCAGCTCTTCATGTTAACACGTTTCTGACTGTAAAGGTGTTAATGTGATGAGTGCCCACAACAGTGCTGTCTCAATTACTACTGCACCTCGTGCTATTTAACCAGCAGTTGAAGGTTAGTCAGGTGCAAGAAAGCCTACAGCTTACTATTCATTTACAAGATCCATATTGTACGTTATTGGTAACTTGCACATCTTATGACAAAGAACAAAAAAGGGTTATTTACAAATGTGAAAACATGCAGTCCCATAGTTCAAATCCTGTTTTTCATGTTATGCCTCTATAGGAATTGCATGGATTAGCTGTGGAAACCATTATCTTTTCATAGACCCTTGATTAGAAGAATAGGTGTACCATTGCCTATTTTCACAATATACTCACTTTATGTGCGGGCACTTCTAAACTTTCCTTTATTTGCCTTTTCTACTTACGGTACCAGAGGCATTCTGCACAGCAAAAATGTATTCTATAGTGCTATCAGATTGGATTTTTAGGTGTGCCTAAGAAGTTGGCAATATGTTTCAATGGTAGTTCCAGAAACTGAAACTCAGCAGCTTGTCTAGTTTGGGAAATGTGAACAAGGAAACACATTTGCACATACTTAAATGCAATGTGTGTCTGCAAATGTTCCGGTTCGTAAGTGATAAACTATGAGAAAAATCCTAAATTTTAAAGCAGAACATTATAAGGATTATTTCCAATGTTATTTTATTCAGATTAATATATTGCCAAATTGTTGTTTTCATACAGACACTCTGTTTTAGTCTATGTTTCTCTCCAACATCATCCAGTATCTAATTAAGAACCAAAAAATATAAAACACAAGTCAGATTATATAAAATAATCAACAAATGTAAAGAAATCCATGTAAAAGTTTCAGGGGACCTCACTATTTTTAAGACATTTTCAGACAAAGTTACTGTATGTGGCGGAAGCAGTACATTAAACACGTTACAAAACACTGCAGTCTTCTTTTTCATAGCTTAAAATTGTTTATTTCATTAAACAGGAGTTTTCACTTGGCTGCACTCTAAAACTTAGTTGAATATTAAATATCCAATATCCTGTTATGATCTAAAAAGGTCTAAAAATATATTAAAATGAATAAGACGACTTGTGTTTTAGGTTTAATGGTGCTCTAAATGTACAGCAAGTAAATGTTATCTGTCTTTCATTAAGGTGGCACCGGTGAATAAAAGCATCGCTCTTGTAACAACAGTTTATAACCTTTCAGTCATCATGGGCCATTGGTAAAAAGTATATGGCAGAAATAGCAGGCAAAGCAATTGTTAACAGGCAAGGTCCTCCTGTCAAATGAATGACCAGGCATTGCTAAACAGGAAGAGCTGAAAGCGCAATTTTTTTAATGGATGCTTTCTGCTAGCATTGCACAATTTTATGTGTAGTGCTAGTGTGCTGCAGAAACTGTACTTTTTTTTTTTTTGCAAATGTAATTGTGTGTACCCTCTTCAGGGCATCCTCATACTATTCGATATATTGTAACCTTTGATTTGTCTTTTGATTTAAAGAACTCGACTCGCCTAAATTGCTAAATTCTATACATTTTTTTAATCAATGCTGTAAATTGTGTTATGTATTTGTTGCACTTTATCATTTTCCGCATTGCTGGTCTCTGTGGTATAGCATAGGTAAGCGCTCCTGTAGGGGTGCCATTCCATAACTAAGCTTTATGCAGTGTGGGGGTAGGGGGAAGCCCACTCGCCCATTTATTTATACATGGGCATAGACATTGGTGCTAAGATAAGGTGCTCATTGTCTTTTGAATGGGAGAGACTTATGCAAGTCACCTCCTATTATTGGCAGAAATGTAGTAAACATCCCTTGGTGCTCACAACAGTGTCATCCTCTCGATAGATCGTACCATAACAATGTTTGCGTTACACAAATCCTGTATAATAATATAATAACAAGTACGGAGGAGATTAGTAACAGCTCCAGTTCTGTGCATTTCGAGATTATTGCATAGTAAAGAGTGAGCCCAACAATGCTATTAAAATCAGTAGCATTTGTTTGTACAATTCTTCCAGCATACTGGGAAATTTAATTTTTTCACAAACATGCCTGAACTTGTATTTGAACTCACAGTTACTACAGGTGCTCAGCTAGTTTGTGTTGGAAGAAATAATGCAAACATTTTTGTTGCCTGCCCACTCTTACCAAAGATCTTACAGAGCCTACCCATTGCCATGGGAAATTCTAAAAAAAAGGCTCATTATAGTTTACAATCTAATCCTGGTCTCAGTCAAGCATACAGGTTAATGGAGCTGGCCTTATCTCAGGGAAATAGCAGCCATCTGTGGAAATAATTTTGGACAATTGAGTTTTTCCCTGAGGAAAGACAACCCAAGGCTGTGTGCAAAGGTCACAGGTTGTTGATAGACTCCTTGCCATTTGCTTAGCCAACTGTCATCGGCTTGATTTGGCACCAGCCAACTCATATCTATGGGTAGATAGAGAGCAGCACACAAATTGCAGATTCATGTAGTCAGCTGTCCGGGACACAAAAAATTAAGGTGACACTGTTAAAAGAAGTTTTCCTCTGTTCCTCCCTCTATTTCTTGTCACTGTGAGCATTTTTTTTTTACGTGAAAAATTAAACAAAATACCTTAAGTGAAGTAGGAACTGTTCACCATTTGTCAGTTGTTATCAGTTATTATTCATGCAGAAGTAAAGGCATGTGTATAGTCAACATCTTATTTAGAACTGTATGCTTATTCCATAATGCTTCTCTATGAAATATTGTTTTTGACATCATGCAGAAGCTTCTGATGTATTCCATTATGTAACTTTGTATGTCTTTATGGACTACACTTGTACAGTTGCACAATTTCGTATTATTCTTTTTCGGTTCAGTGTGCTATTCCTGTCATCTTAAAGGACCCATAAACCTTTAAACACTAGTTGCACATATAAAATAGCTAATTATAACAGACCGAGAGCCAGGTCAAGTTGGTTTTGGTGTTAGAACTAAGATTTAAAAAAAACAACAGGGTTATTCACAAAAGGGTGAAGAGTTTGGAGAAGACAGGAGAAGGGAACAATCTAGGCCAACATAGCTGATTTGGAAACATTCTCCAATTCAGCTCACTTTCCAGTTCAGCTGTGTTGTCCTAGATTGTTCACTTCTGCCTTCTCCAAACCCTTCACACTTTAGTGAATAGCCATGCAAGTGTTCTCCCCATATATGCTGATCTCTAATTCTAAAGGGACTCTTAAGCTGACACTACACTTAACCCTTCCAGCATCAGAACTCCTTAAAACGTATCTTCCCCAACACCTAGATCTATAAATTTGTATGTGTTTATTTCCCCTTCAAAGAGATCAGAGCATTATCCCAGACAACGCCTTTCTTTCTCAGCAAAAGATCAACACCATCCTTGTCTAGACATTATCTACAGTAAGTCTTACAACAGTCCCAGTAAGTGAACACTTGGGGAAATGGGGCTGAGGAAATGCAGAATGATGACATAATTCCCCCAAGATGATCTTCTCAGGGCTAGGCACTATCAATTTGGTAGATCATTCCCCCCACGATGATCTTCTCAGGGCTAGGCACTGTCAATTTGGTGGACTTCAGTGACTACATTTATTTATAAAAGGTACTGTTTATTAATTTATTCTATTACTGTATATTGTGACATGTCAGGAGTTCATTTATTCAGATTTGTAAAGTTATAGGTCTGCTTTAACCTAGCCCTAACACTTTGCCCAGTCATTCCCCTAATGTTACCCTTACCCAAACACTAAATCAACTCCTCCTAACACTCAACTCTCTTCTTACCCTTAAGCTAATACTAACACCTAA